GCGCCCGGCCAAGGAAGAGGAAATTTTGAGACAGAAGAGGAAGAGGCAATGTAACTGCGGAGGCAGAGGTTGGAGTGATGCCACCAGAAGTTGGATGAGGCAGGAAACAGATCCTCCCCATGAGCCTTAGGAGGGAGTGTGGCCCTGACAACAATTTGATTTTCTGGCCTCCAGAACTTGGAGGAAGTAAATTTTTGTTGTTTCGAGTCATCAACTTTGTGACAATTTATTACAAAAATCCCAGAAAACTAATCCCACTCAGTTTCCACATCTACGAAATTAAAGGTTGGGGTAGTATTAACAATAAGTCCTAGCCCAGATCTTTAATTTTAAGAAGGTTATTTCAGATATTTGGAAAATAAAGTAGCTTTAAGACTGTCACCCTATCTGACAACCTCACAGGATGCTGTTTGCCTAGGAAGCCCCTCAATATGTAAATGAGAAGTGTTCTACCCCCGACAGCCCCTTTACCAGGAATCACTGTGTTAGAGAGTTGGATGCGAAAGTGTCCTCCTAAAGGTGGACTTGTCCTCTGTAGTCTCTGTGTCGTCACCTGGACCAGTCCAGATCCTTCTTCTGTTCCTTCATTGGGCACAGAGCTAAGGCAGGTCAGAAACAAAGAATTAACCCCAGGACCATCAAGAAGTGCTAATCCACACAGAATATAGACCCATTTCAAAGACCAGGTCATCCCCCATGGTTCCAGGTTATGAGCTCAAACTCCCAAATATTGAGTGTCCCTCTTTTGTCACAGCAGAAAAAATGTAGTATAAATATTAGGATTGTTTCTGTTTTGTTTTATTTTATTTTATTTGAAAAAGGGTCTCTCCCTGTCACCCCAGCTAGAGTGCAGTGGCATCATCATAGCTCACTGCAGCCTCAAACTCCTGAGCTCAAGCAATCCTCCTGCCTCAGCTCCCCGAGTAGCTGGGACTACAGGAATGCGCCATGAAATCCAGCTAATTTTCTATTTCTTGTAGAGACAGGATCTCGTTCTTGCTCAGGCTGGACTCAAACTCCTGACTTCAAGTGATCCTCCTGCCTTAGCCTCCCAACGTGCTAGGATTATAGGCATGAGCCACCATGCCCAGTCTGATATTAGGATTCTTTAAGAGTGCTCTACCCTTCACCCTACAATGATCTTGGGAGCACAGGGATCCAGGGTCAGCTCTGGTTCTGAAACAGAATTGAACAAGAACTTGTTTTTGCTCGAAGCCCCATCTGCATATGCAAACAAAAAATCAGTGTACCCTGGTCCTCAGAGGCTTCTCGCCTGGTATACTTTAGCTGAAATGCAGCCACTCCAGCTAGCCAAGTTCTTATCTTGTTCCTGTGTGCAAACACACTGCCTGCCTAATCCTGTTTTTAATATGACAACTGGTTCCAGTAAATTGTGACACACCAGGAGATGGAACACTGCTCAGTCATTGCTATGGTCTAAAGGTTTGTGTAGCCCCATAAATTATACATTGAAATCCTAACTCCCGAGGTGATGGCATTAGGAGGTGGGGGTTATGGGTGGAGGGTGATTAGGTCTTGAGGGTGGAGGCTTCATGAATGGGATTAGTGCCCTTTATAAAATAGGCCCCGAACAGACCCTCCTCCCTTTCACCATGTGAGGACACAGTGAGAAGGTGGCAACTATGAACCAGCAAGCAGGCCCTCGCCAAACACCACATCTGCCAGGGCCCTGATCTTGGACTTCCCAGCCTCCAGAACTATGAGAAATAAATTTCTGCTATTTATAAACTACCCAGTGTATGCTATTTTGTTATAGCAGCCCAAATAGATCAAGACAACAGCCATTAAAATAATTTTAGAAAGATGTTTAATGATACGGGGAAATATTCAATCCATGCCGTTAGATGAAAAGGGCGTGTTACAAATGTAGTATGTAATGTGTGGTCCCAATTTGAGGCTTAAAAAGTAAATATATACATGCATACGCATATATGTATACAAAAAGTGCTTAAGAAAAGGGCTGCTAGAATATAAACCTAACATTTTAATAGAAGTTATCTCTCGGCGGAGGGATTATGAGTGACATTTATCCTCTTCTGTGTGTTTTTCTGTATTTTCCAAATTTCAACAATGGACGTATATAATTTCCATCAACAATATTTAAGTACTGCGTGCTGATAAGCATACTTAACAAACATACAGAAATCGACAGACGGGCGCTGCCTGGGTTGGGGTGTGCATCTAGGAGAACCTAGTCTGAAGGTTGCCCCATCTTGCTTAGGCCAGAGGCTTCCAGAAGGAGCTAAGGGCCATGAGGAGACCCAGAAAGGAAGGCTGTCAGAATCACTCCAAGTGTGAGTCTGAGTAACCTAAATTAGCCTCTATCATTTCAGAGTCAATAACTTTGGCACTGAGAGCCTGCCAATATGGTATATCCTAAATGGTATATGGCTATGTGGGCATATCCTGTTGCTCCTAGGCTACAAACCTATATGGGATGTTACTGTACTAAATACCGCAGGCCATGTAACACAATTGTACACATTTGTGTACCTAAACATATCCAGACATAGAAAAGGTACAGTAAAAATATGGTAGGATAATCTTATAGGCAAATATTATAATTCAGTCCATTATTGACAGAAATATTGCTATGTGGTGCATGACTTTAGATAGATACATACACACATATACAGTGTATATATATATATATATATATATACACATGCACACACATATATATACATATACATATATAAAGGGCAGAATATCTCAATTCTTCCCATCCTACTGGGGTTTAAGTGAAAAATTAAAAGGACAGATTAGAGCATACACGTGATCCAGGAGCTTGGAGGAGCCTGATCCTTGGTTACTGCTTTGTAAACTGTGGCTGGAAATGTTTTAGTGCAGAGAAGCAATGCTTGTGGGGCTCTAGTGCCATCTGGTGGTAAGTTCTTAGAAATAGCTATTTATGTTCCTTAGAAGAATTCATTTCACTTGAAAGGATTTCAACAAAATTAATATATGGTGGATGGAATGAAGAGAGAAAACAGAAAACAGTGGTAATGTGACCCTCTGAAGAGCAATACAACTGTTTTTAAACAAATTCACTAGAAATCAGTTCTCAAAGTGTAGTCCCCAGTCCAGCAGAATCAGTGTCACCAGGAAACTCATTAAAAATGCAAATTCTCAGGCCCTGCCTCAAACCTAGAGAATTAGAGACTCTGAGGGTAGGGACCAGCAATTCGTGTTTTAACAAGACCTCCAGGTGAGTCTGACACTGCGTTCTCAAGACTGAGAACATTGCTTTAAGCGATAGACAGATAGCTTTGTCTTGGTCCCCCAAGGCCACCAGGAACCCTAAGGAGGAACGGCAAAACCACTCCTTACCGTGCAGTGATGAGCGGGAGCTCCGTGCCACACCCGGCCAGCCAGGAGGCCACGCTGTAGACTGGAGGGGACCCTGCCACAGAGACAGATTCCACCAGATTCCCGCCTGGGCGAGCTGTTCCGGAATCAGCTTGAGAAACTAGAGGCCAACGATTCAATTATTATCAAGCAATTCAAGATGAGAGACTTGCTGTGTGGAAAATCCCAATTAAAGATGCTGAGCTATTCAAATCTCAGGACACACTTAGAGCACAGATTCCTACCTACTTGTTGCCATAAAGAGCAAAGGGAGGGGAGGCAGGAGGACCCGCTATCCAGTTCATTACCAAAAAGAAAGTGCAAGGTCATGATTTAAGGAGACAAAGACTGATTCCACGGCAAAGTTCAGTAAGCCCCCAGCCAGCCAAATGTCACTCCCTAGCTCTTGGGGGCACCCCTACACAGATAATGTAGAGCAGTGTAGACTGCCATGCTTTCCTCCTTTTCTTCCCACAGCCCCTAGCAACTCTAGGAATGTTCAGCTGATCCTTCTTAGGAACAGAAACACATGAGGCACATAGCGCGGGCACATGTGTGGAGTCAGCACATGTGCACAAAGAGTGTGAGCTTTAAGAGAGACCACTGCTCAAATCCTAAGTTTTCCACTTCTGTTGGGAACCCACTCAGCTAATCCACATAAGCTCCCTAAGACTCAGTTTTCTTATTTGTAAAGTGGGAATTATGACATGCATGATAGATAGCAATCTGCATGGCAAGGAAAATTTGGTGAGACTGCAGATTTAAAATGACCAGCACAATATATTTTAATGTCCTTTTTCTCTCCTGTTAAGCACTGAGTAAAAGACAGCTTTTTCACTAAGACTAGTTACAACTGAGATTGTAAAGAGTTCAAGGGCAACATCTTTGTCTTATTCATCTTTGCATGCCCGATGCTTAGCACAACACTAGGCACAAAGTAGGTGCTCAATAAATGATCACTTGCTCAGCTGGGTAGGGAGTCACTGAAGGTTCTGCGCAGATGTCAATGATTATTGGATTCTGAACTCCCCCACATCCCAGCTGTGTGAATTGGGGTAAGATAATCCCTTTTAGCCTTGGTTTCCTCCTCCATTGAATGGGAATAATAGGACCATCTCTTATGGGTTTCTGAGAAGTAAATGAGAAATAAATGGAAGCTACCATTATCTCCTGGTAGTGACAGATAAAAAGAACTAGATAAAAAGAACTTTCATAGAGGACATTAGGTGGGGGAATGTAATCAAATATAAAATTAATCAGATAAATGATACACAATTAACTATAAATATTGAGCCCAATTGCGTAGTTTACATTGTCATTAAATAATCCTCAGAACAAAGCAGGTGCGGCAAGGTGACATGACGAGGTAGGAAGCAGACCATTTCACCCAAGCCACACCAGTCTTCTCTCCTGTCTCCACCCTCTCCCTTCCTGCTCCCTCCTCGCCTCACCCCCTATGATCCCAGACACACAGAGCTTTTGATGACAAAGCGGTAGGGTCCATGAGAAACAGCTCTGGCTCCTTGTCTTCAAGGATTTGGAGGGGCAGGGTGGCATCAAAAGGAGAGAAAAGAGAAAGTGAACAGCACCCATGATGTAGTCCTGAGTTTTCCAACCAGTGGGTGCAAGATTATGATATATTGATAACCTCAGCTTTCTGGGAATGTGGCAGCACTTGGGATCACCAAAGGGCCCCCGCCTGTGGTCTCAGGTACTGACACATTCAGGCAGTCATCACCCCAGCATGCCATTTGAAGTGTCCTTTCCTACGTGTGCCAGGACATGGACAGGGTTTGGATGCCAGATGCCCCCCAAATACTTAAACCACTGCAACAGTTTAGAGGTGGAATTTTGATGATTACCAAAGATGATGCAATTTCAGGGCAATAAAGAGTCTTCTTGCCTCCCACCCCCAAGTTCCCCTGCCCTCAGCTCTGCAATTTTTAGGCACAAGGCTGAACAGTTACACATTTTCTATATCAAAATGTAAATGACTGTATCATCGTGTTCTCCTTGGAGAGAGAAAGAAACTATTAAAATAATAATAATAAAAAAAAACAGGATAGCTGAGCCCCAAAGTCACAAGGAATTTGACAGAAAGGTAAATGTGAGCAAAAGTTGGAAGCCTGGAGGGGCTGAGAGCAAACCGCACCACTCTGCCTCAGCCGTGCATGCACATCATGCATGGCCAACCTTGGCAGGACCCCTGAGGAAGACTTTGTCCCTAAGACTAGTGAGCAACACAGCCAGGTGAGACCGCTGTGCCCAGGACAGGTCAAGGGAGACTTCGGGAGGAAGGGGCCAGGCCTGAGCTCTGATAATGAGGGGAGGAGTGAGGATAGACAGGAGGGACACGGGCACTCTCTGGAGGATATGGTGACCCTCCAATCTCACTGAGCCTCTCTTGATGGTCGTAAATCAGACCTTCAGCCCATTTATGGGGCCGGATGTTGCTGTATTCCTCCTAGCCCTCGGTGTGACAGATGTTAACTCATGGAGAGCTGGGGAAATCCTGTTGGCCTAACAGTAACGATAGTAAACATAATTGCTTATATTTGGTAAGCACCTACCCTGGTCAGTGCTTTATATTAAACTTTGGTTAATCTTCACAGTAATCCAATGAAGGCGGGTCTTTATTACACCATTTTACTGATGAGGAAACCAAGGCTTCCCAGCAAGACAGTGATAACATTAGGGTAAGAGCACAGGCACCAGCAGCAAGAGCAATCATTGCAGTAAATGGGGGAGAAAAAAGGACTAACTAGAGAGCCACAGAAGCAAAGGCACGCAATCCCAACCCCCTCTGCTTTCTAGAACCAAGGCAGGCAAGATGGAGAATCACCTGTTCCCTCCCCATTAAAAGAACAGTGGCCCCTACCAGGAAAGTTTGAGTAGGCATTTGACAGGCCCATGGAGGAGAGCAGATTTGATGATCACCTGTTACGTTTGTGTCTGCAATAATAATTTCATCCACAAAGAGCAGGCCCGTCTCCTGAGCCTGAGGCAGAAGTTCAATCTGATGAACCAGCACCGGGGAGTTTGCGAGAGGAGGCTGGACATCCCCGGAACGACGCACACACGTCTCCCAGAGGTCAGTGCAAGTGAAGTCCCAGCTGGAAGACAGTGCAGGGTGGAGCTGGGCCTCTCAGCGAGCACCTGCAGCCCTCTCCTGTCTCAGCCCTCCTTCCCAAACCTGGGGGCCTGAGGGCTCTGCAGCCAGGAGAGAGACCCCATGAACCCCTGCACCCAAGCAGTCCTGGGTGCCACGGTTACAAACATCCCACCTAAGATGGACTCAGCTCAGCCTTTGATAAAACACCAGCAAGTCACATTTTAAGTCAAGCATTCATTCATGACACTCAATGTCAGCAGCCTTTTCAAATTACAATTTGATTGTGTGTCTTAAGCAGATTATATGTTGGGCTCTAACCACAGAGAAGATTGATACTCCTAGACATTATCAGACTCATTTAGATTTAAAACCACTTATAAGACCCGTAAGAAATATGTGGGAAGAACACTGAATCAAAGGAACAAGATGCCTAATCTTATTGCACAGTCACTGACCAAATGAATTTTGGTGAATCACAAATTCTTGGGGCCCTGATTTTCCTCAAGAATGTTCTCTAAGGGTGTGGTCCCCAAGCTCTGGGCTGCAGCCCAGCACCCATCTGTGGCCCACCAGGAGCCAGGCTGCACAGCAGGAGGCAAGTGGTGAGTGAGCAAAGCACCATCTGCAACCCGCAGCCGCTCCCCATCACTTGCATCACCGCCAGAGCCCCAGTCTCTCCCCCCAACCCCCATCAGATCAGCAGGGGAATCAGACCCTCACAGGAGCACAAATCCCACTGCAAATTGCACATGTAAAGGATCCAGGCTGCACACTCCCCGTGAGAATCCAACTCCTGATGCCTGATGATCTGAGGTGGAGCCAAGATGGCGACCCCCACCAACCCCATTCTTGGAAAAACTATCTTCCACGAAACTGGTCCCTGGTGTCCAAAAGGTTGGGGACCACTGCTCTAAGGTCTCTCCCAAATATGACATTCTATGATTCTATCTCTCTGAGAAATGTCAGACTCCTTCCAGGAAGTAGTATATTCTTAACAACTAACCGCTCTTGAGTCAAACTTCTTTATCAACTAAAATATGTCCAAAGCCTCGAGTTAGGATCTGAGGCCGAAATACAGGACTGTTAGTAAGTACTTCAGGTGAGCCACTGTCCCCAAGAGAGCTAATCCTCTCAGCTGGCAGAATTCCTACCCGATTAGTTACCTCTGGGGACTCGTCCTCCTGAGAGTCCAATCACAGGTGATGTTCTTCTGTGCCATGTTGTGAAAGCCGGTTGTGAAGGACACCGTCATCTTCAGGATCTTATTCATGTGGCCTTTGTATGCAAGACACAGCTGTGGACACCAAATAAGTCCTTCAGTTCTATTAATATTAGTGCAAGAAGCAGCCACTCGAACAATATGTAATGAGGAGTCCACACCCCTGGAACCTTGCCACATGCTACAAAAGACAGTCAGTCCCGTTCCTGACCTGCCAGAGCTTACCCAGTCTAGCCAGAGAGACAAATAATTTGGAGTAAATCATTATTTACTTCCCTCAATACAGCTGGGAGGAAATGCAACAAATACTCTTTCTGAGGCCGAAAAAAAATGTTATTCAACAATTTTTAAATGCCTAGCACTGTGCTTGGCAGTGAGGATTATAGAGAAAACCTCTGGTCTAACCCAATTACCTGTGCAGCCTTGAGCAAATCACTCAACCTCTCTGACTCTCAGTCCTTCAACTCTAACTCCCCAGAATCCTTGGTTTCTAACTCAGTTAGGTGCAAAGTTGTTTGGCACAAAAATAATTTAGAACAGGAGTTTTCAACCTCAGCACTATTGACAAGGCTTGATAATTCTTCGTTGTGCTTTGTAGGATGTTTAGCAGCATCCCTGGCCTCTACCCACGAGATGCCAATAGCACTTCCCCATCTGTGACAACCAAACATGCTTCCATACATTGCCAACTTTCCCTTGAGGGGCAAAATCACCCCGTTGGCTGCCCCTGAAGTAGAGGAGAGGCTGAAGATGGGAGGGGACCTTGGCCTGAACCATCTAGCCCCGACTCCCACTGCAGCCAGACTAGGAAAGGACTCAAAACTACTGCCATGAGCTCTGTCACCCAAGCAAAACTCACTCTGGGTCCCAGTGGGCAAATAAGCTGCACTTCTTTCACAAAGAACAGTAGAGCTATTGAAGCAAAGGATATAGAGGTTTTCAAGAAATGTGTCCATCAACTTAATCCATCAATAATAAAAATAACAAGAGTAACAATAACTAGCCTTCACTGAGTTCTTACCTCTGCACAAGCACTTTATTAGATGATCTCATTTAATCTTCACCACTGTCCTGAGAGGTAGACCACATTTTTACCCATTTTACAGATACGTAAACTAAGGCATAATGTACTTAAGTAAGACATCGAGGGTAAACAGGGTATAGAGTCAGGATTCAAAACCAGATAGGCTGACTACAGAGTCTACAGTCTTAGAGATCGAAGAAAATATTGGAACAAATAAAAACTCCCATAGGTCTCACGGCTAATACAAAGGCATTTCTAGGTAACAATGCATAAGCAGGGGCCAGCGGTGTCCACACCTGAAGCAGCAGTTAAGAGACCTAGATCCTCAGCCCAAAATGCCTTGGGCCAATCCCAGCAATCACGTCTTTGTGCTTCTGTTTATTCAGTCTCAAACCCAGAGAATAATACCAACCCTTCCCTACCCACCTGGCCTGGAAACACGAGGGCTGCTACTCACATGTGTATACTGATCTAGCCGATAGCCCTTCTGGGCAGCCGGGGGCATCAGGACAAGGTGCCGAGGCTGACAGAGGCTGAACCTGCCACAGAAAGGCTCTGACCCACTGGTGAGCTCCCCATCAGAGCTGGAAACTTCTGGGCCTGGATGCAATTCAGATAAAACAAAAAGACAGGCGTGGATGTTAAACAAGACAGAGCTTCCCAGCATGTGTGCAGGGAATGGGTTGTGGGTTCACCACGGGAGAGCTGGGCAGGGCTCGGGTGGCTAGCACCCCCAGCTTGAAGGCTCCAGCTATGAGAAACCCATTCTGTGTGCTCTAGAGCATCAAAAATCTATTCCCATCGTCTCTGTGCACCAGGACGTGAAAAACTATTGAGAAGGAAAAAGACAAGGATTGTCAACTAGAATTTAGTTCTTATTAGTTTAAAAAACACACCCTCGCATTTTAAGAATTTAAGACTACTTTCTTCTGTAATAATTCCTTTAGATGCAATTTGAATTAAGTAAGATTTATACAGTTTTACTGTTTCTGTTTCTCACCTATATCCTTAACCTTTGCCAGTGTGTGGCAGGGGCAGTCTCTGGGCAGTGCTTCTCTCCACTACCAGCTCAGAAGGAAAGGCTTCTCTTGCTAGTGACACCAACACCAAGCATCTCCCTCTCAAGCGTGTGGCCACTCCCTTGGCCACTCAGGATCCAAGTTCAGTTTTCCTATTTCTATTTGACTCTGTTAGCACCTTGGAGAGGACATGAAGATTGTTCCCATTTTATGGAAACAAAGAAGACAATGATGGAAAAAAGGACCAGAATTTGTCAACGGGGGTACAGCACCTTGTTCAAATCCAAGCCGCAGTAGGATCTTAGCCGAAAAGGGTTCCAGTTTGCATTTCACTGAAAGTAACTCCTCAATGGTTGTTTGAATCTGTTAAAAAGAAAAAAGGTTCAGGAGTTCATATCATGGGTATAATGACCACCCCAAGCTCCTCCCCAGCCACATTATTTGAAGAGATTTCCCACCTGATGGGCTGTAGCATTTGCAGGGATTGGCTGACTAGAAACATTGTCCCAAGTAAGGAGAAAGTTTCCACTGCCTGACACATTCAGCATCTAAAAAGTCAAGAGAGACAAGACTAAACGGTGGTGCTAGTTAAGCCAGAGAATCTATGTAGGAACACAGGGCATATTCCCTAAGCTTGCTGGGTTTTTTTTTTTTTTCAATTTTAATTTCAACTTTTTAAATGCACTACCAGCCATCTAGAAAGCTCTGAAAAATGCAGTGTCATCACCTATTGAGAACTTCTCTTGGAATAATATACATCTGTCTCCCTATTTATTCGTGAACGTTTTCTTAGAATATGGGACGTAGAGGGTGCCATTGAAGGATGGTCCTTTGGCCCTTCTCACCAATTGCTTTCTGCCAAGGGTAGCCTGGTAGGCAAACGCAGCCAAATAGCATGCTGCCCTCTCTCAGAGGTTTGGCTTCCAACACATTCCCTGCGGAGCACATTACACTTTTGCTGTGGAGTAAGATCTATGTAGCTTTTAATCTCCTGCATCACTTGTTATTTTCTACTTTGTCCTAAGGTTATTTGTGTACATGTTTTACTATTAGACTGTAAGCTTTAGAGGGAAGAGTTCATATTGATTTATCTTTGTACACCAAATAGTGAACAACAAAAAGTACATCAAAATTGTTTAACGAAAATATGGGGCACAACTAAGAGACCCAAAGGACATGACCTTCACAAAGTAGATTTAGAAAATGCGGCATATAGGGAAATAGGACCTGAATAGATAAAAAACTATGGAGTTTTATGTGCATGTGTGTGTGTGTGTGTGTGTGTGTGTGTGTGTGTATGTGTGTGTGTGTGTGTTTAAAGGGCTTTATGTCTACTCTGGGGAATGAGTTTTCAAAAGAAGACTTACTTGGAACTTAAATTCCTAAAACTCAGTCAATGAGGAATGTAATCTCAATAAGACTGAATTTCTGAAAAACATCGTCACCAACTCTGTCAGATCGACATCCTGTTTCTTTGGCAGCAGAGTGATAATTACAACCCAGGTCCCTGACTCCCAGCATAATGGTCCTTCAGCAAAGCAAGACTTTAGTCTTCTAGAGGTCAGCTTCACGGGACTGGGAAGAGACGCAGACCTGTATTTCTGGAAGCCTCTGGGCTCGGGCTCGGATCTGGTGCTTCTCCCGGAGGTAAGTGGCGACCACGTCAGGATTCAGCCAGGTGTTGTGAATCTGGACACCAATTCTCATCCCCCTGCTGGGGGCTATCCCATGATGCTCTGCTTCCAGGTAGTACTTGGCTCCACCCAACAGCTCCAACTTGGGCGTCTTCTGTTGCCAGATCCCTTCACCCCCATTCTGCTCCCAGGAGTCAAACCAGTCCGCGGTGCCCATCCCGATGGAGGCCACTTTCACCTGTGCCCCAATAAGCATATCAGGATCAACACTGGGAGGCTTCAGGCATCTCTTTCCTGAACACTAAGTGTCTGAACAGCTGCTAACAAGAGATTTTTGAACTGGTCTTCCTTTTCCAACAAGTTAGTCTAGTGCTCTTGGTCCTGTGGTTGTTTCTCTCTCCCTCCCTTTCTCTCTCTCTCTCTCTCTCCTTCTCTCTCTCTTTCTCTTTCTCAATTGCCTAGTACTCAGATGAGGCTAGATGCACCATGTTTACAGCAGGAACAGCCAGCCTAAAACCCTAGGTTTACATGGTGCTGTGGAGAAAGTAACGTAAGCCCTTGAGAGATCTGGAATGGCTTGACTACCTCCAAATCTGTGACACTTCTCTAACCAACTAGCAAACAAATTTCAAAGAAGCATGTTAATAATTCCGGAAAAAATATTGTCATTCTTTGTCAATGGCACAAGTGAATTTTGGCTGCTTATTAAAGGCACCTTTACCTTTACTTATCCGTCAAAGTTGATGGCAAGAGTCCTACATAAAGCTGGCTATATCTCTACCCAAAATGAGTGGAAAAAGCATAAGTTTTGGAGTCAGACAACTCTGTCTTTGAATCCTGAATCTCCCTCTTACTATCCAAGTGGATTGGTCATATAATCCTTCTAAGCCTCAATTTCCTCATCTGGAAAAGATATATATAATATATATATATATATACAGACGCATGGTAAAGATTAGCGACAAAGTATACAAAAGATGTAGCATAACTCCTGTCTTAAAGTAAATGCCCGATAAACAGTAGGTGCCATCACATTCAGCCAAATTCTTTTTCAACAATTAAAGTCCCTGGTCACCTAATGGCATGTTACAACTATCTTTAGAACATGAGAGCTTTAGCTCTGATTCTTTCTTTCTTCAGGGTTATAGGCCTGGGGACAACTAAAAGGAAAATGAGAGGAAAGTAAATACCTTAGTCCTTGGTTCCTCTGACCAGCTGAAATGCAAGGAAGCTTGGCCATCTGCCTGGATCCAGAAAGTATAATTATTTGTCTCTGGAGCCACAAAGAACCCACTGAGCCGGGCTCTGTCAAGTGGAAGAACACAGAGTCCAGCAAGAGTAACCAAGGTCTGAATCAGGAAACCAACAAATGGTTGCCCTTGCATTTTGTTTTTCTTTATGGCAATGAGGAAGAAAAGCCTGATTCTTATGCCACATGATAGTCCAGAATATTCTAGAAAGAGCTATAGCACCTGCGTAGTCTCAATATCCCAATCCACCCCTTTGCACTGGCCACAAACCCCCTTGCAGTTGTGTTACCTCTGGGAATGTTGAAGCCACAGCTTTGGACCACATGGAGGCTTAGCTGAGAAATCACCTAACTCAGCCAGCACAGGCCCCGGGCCATGGTGGAAATTCAATCAATAGTAAATATTCTTATTATTAGAAATAAAGAGACATCACTGATCAGAACTTGCTCTGAGCTTACCAGAGACCTCAACACCTGCAGAGAGTGTTTTTCCAATTAAAAAATAATGGTCCACAGAGAAGAGTCAATTGAATGTGTCAGTAATTTCAAATTAAAAGCCATAAAATGCAACTTTGAAGAAGATTTCAGGCAATTTTATATAACATTTAAAAATTAACTCCTTTTTTTAATGTTTAAGATAAATTCCAGTGACCTAATATTACAGATAGATATGGTTAAGAAACTGATTAAACTACCCAAATAAATACTAAGAACATTTTCTTATTTTTTTAAATCTTCACATCATCAATATTAGGTTTTTAAATATTGCTTTAAAGTATACATGCTATTTTTACCTTTAGAGAGAATTTCTTATTTAAAATAGTTTCAAAAAAGAACAATTTAAAGGTCCATCAATACAATAACAGTAATTTACCAATCAATAAATAAATATTCCAATTCTTTAATTTAAATTTTTTAGATTTTAAAGAGATGAATGAGTGAGGGAATGGAAAATGAATTACTGTCTTGTTTGTGGCTCCTCAAAATGGCACTAAAGGGTCATACCCTACAAGTCCCACCATAGAAGTCAAATATTCTTTTGCCTTTGCAGGTAGTCTGACTGACCCCTTAACATTCTCATACACACTGAATAAAGCTGAAAGGTTTTCCTTTGAACATTATTAATGGTCCTCAAAAACTATGACAGAGATGCATTATTAGGTGCTACAATAGACCACAAATTGCTACCACTTTAAAACCACAAATTAGGCTGGGCATGGTGGTTCACACCTGTAATCCTAGCACTCCAGGAGACCGAGGCAGGGGGATCACTTGAGGTCAGGAGTTCAAGACCAGCCTGAGCAAGAGCGAGACCCCATCTCTACGAAAAGTAGAAAACTTAGCTGGGCATGGTGGTGCATGCCTGTAATTCCAGGTACTGGGGAGGCTGAGGCAGGAGGGTCACTTGAGCCCAGGAGTTTGAGGTTGCAGTGAGCTATGATCATGTCACTGCCCTCAAGCCAAGGCAAAAAAAGCAAGACTTTGTCTCCAAAAAGATAAAATCAAATAAGATAAAAAATAAAACCATAAATTGGCAGTTAAATGCCTAGTTAGAAAGGCTTCAGGAGACACTCTTCTTTTTGCAGGTTATCATCCCTACTTGGCTTCTTAAATGCCTGAAATTCTCTAAACAGGGAACAAAGCTTCTCATTGCACAATTGAGTTGAGATCTATAATGGTAAAATCTCTGGGGAAGGTCACAGATTGGCTGAAGTGCACACTCAGATGTCACAACCTGCCTCTCTGAGGAGGGTCTTGAAGGGAAAAAGAGATTCGTCACTCAGTGAAGGATCCACCCCTCAATATACACACTGAGAACTCACCAGGGAAACAGTGTGTCTAAGCAATTCTCAAACTTTTTATATTTTTAAGCTCACTTTAGAAAACTAGAAATTGTGACTGCATCCTTGAGAGGAAAGGATTAAAAAGACGCAAAACAACTCTCAACAGGAAAATCACAATCACAATGCAGTCACTCCTGCAGAAAACAACGTCTCACAGAGCCTTAAGAGCTTCCTCTGCTATATACCAGCTATTGCGCTGATGTTCAGCACTGAAGTCTGTTCCAAAGGAACTGTTTGCTGCCCAGCCTTTGCTCCCTCATATGCTTGAACTGCAAATCTTAACATCTTTCTTTGGCAACAGCCAGATGTTAGTCTTACCTCTTAACCTGCAGCAAGTTTTATTCCGCTGTTTAACCCTAACCCTAACCCTAACCCTAGCCTGTCCAGCTAAATGTTCCAATTGACAGTCATCTCCAAAGTAGCTTGTAAACTGAGTTTTAGAAAATATAAATTTTATGTATTGATCAAAATTTGTCTATGCACCTACAAAAGTCACTAGCATGACCCACATTAGTTGGGAACACTGTCAAAATTCTATTGTTGAATTGGTAGTGTTATACATTCTCCCCTGGAAATTTCACTGCCTTCCTTATCTGTATCCTAACCTCACCGGGGCTAGTAAAGATGCTTTTGATATGGACTCCCACTTTTCCTACAACATACCTGAAAGGTTGTCCTTCCTTTGACCAAAATCCAAATGGAGAACTGGCATTGGGGACAATCTGCCACCTGTACCCAGGGGTGGCTTTGGTCAGTGCCAAGCCATCAGCAGCTTCTCCAACTTCAAACAGAAGCCCTCGATTGCCTGTAAGATAGGTATATCTCATAAACATCACAATGCATTGCTCCCCAAATTGGGGGACCGCTTTGTTCCAAATTACAGAGTGAAAGATAATGCAGGTACCATCTGTAGAGGTGAGTCAACTGAGAGCCAGATAGAGTAGTCATGTGGAAGGTTCTATAGATAATACAAATGTTCTGGAAAGCAGAACACATTCCTTGGGGTAGGAGCTAGCTTCTTGGAAAGAGACTTGATAACAAATAATGAGGGCTGATATTCTCAGAGGACCAGAGAAGAGTAGGAAGCCCTTTTTAAGGGGAATGCCTAGGGAAGAGAACCAGGTTCAGGAGAAAATGTGAATGGGCAAACAGATGCTGTGGTTAAGAAAAGAAAGACGATGTGATTGTGTGCTTGTGACGTGAGTTGTCCTTGTGATTCCTGAAGCCAGAAGCGGACTGTGGTATCTTTTAAGGTCCAGTTCGGCCTGGGAATTCTATTCCCTAAAATCCCCTTTTCCCAGAAAATTGGCAATCCTTATATTTTTCAAGTGCCATGGCCTCAATCTGTGGACCTGAACACACAGTGCCAATTTTGTGGTGTGCTGCTATTATGTGACATTTAAATTATGTTGTATTAATTTGTGTTTCATAGTAAGCAAACCCTGAAGCCAAAGGCACAGATACGGTCAATACTGGAAACTAACTTGGGTTGAGAGTAAAAGCTCTGGAATCTTTTAGCTGTGGGTTCAGGTTCCAGCTCTGCCACTTACTAGATGTACGAATTGCTTAATGCCCTTGTGTCTTCATTTTCTCATGCATCAAAATGGGACTAATAATAAATACAGACAATACACTAGGACTAAGGGAAAATATATACATACTCAAACAACCGGAAATATATAGTAAGTGCTCAGTAAAGAATAGCTATGGTAATTTTTATTAAACTACTACTGTTGTTCCTCAGTAGTTCCTAAAATGGAGAGATAGATAAGGAATAAGCAGAAAAATAAGGGCATATTCTAAGAATATTACTTTAAACCAGAATTTCCTAACCTTAGCCCTGTTGACATTTTAGGTTGGATAACTGCGGTGAGAGGCTGCCCTGTGCATTGCAGAATGTTTAGCAGCATTTCTGGCCTCTTGCCACTAGATGTCAGTATCACCACCACCGCCCCAGGTGTAACAGCCAAAAATGGTTTTAGACATTACCAAATGTCCCCCGGGGGAGGCAAAAATCGCCCCCAGTTGAGAACCACTGCTTTATGTAGTCATTCGCCCAACTTCCATGGAAGAAACCTCCAAGCTCTTCATAAAGGACATTACTAACTAACTGTCAAAAACAGCAGCATTCAGGAAATTGTCCTAGCACTACCCAAGTAGCTAAAGCAGTCTATTTCCTGACAGGAAACACACCTTCTCTCGATTACTTGTTTCAGTAGTTTTATTTCCTTGGATGGGAGCTTTCCCTGAATAAAAACTGCAGATCTGGGAGCTGGAGAATTCTCAAGCAAAAGCTTTGCATGCATTTTCACACTTGAATGGCCTTTCTTTAGAAAGGTTTCTTCCCCTATTAGGCAACTTTCCTCGCAGGTGCAGAGCCTCTGGAGTTGGCTCTCGCTGCCTGGAGTTTAATCGTTAAGACCCCTCGTGCACCAACATGCAGCCTGTGGTTCCGGGCTAGGTAACATGCTAATCGCCCTTAATCCCTGACTACACTTGAGCCTTCAGTTCGAATGTGTAGCAGAAAAATGCTCCAGTGCCGTGTTTTTAATTTGCCGCCGTGAAGCGGAAGCTTTAAACAGAGGGCAGGTGAAACCTGCTCCCTTGTCTCCTCCAGTTCTGCCCACTTCAGGCATAAACTGGTGGCGACATCACAGGACATCCCTATTTTTCAAAGCAGCAGAGAGATGCCCACAGGGGAGAAGAAACAACAACATTTAAATGCACCCCATTGTGCCCCATTCTCCAGCCCTGTCTAATGCTGCTGTTGTGAGCAAAGCAGAGTGTGCTCTAATGCTCCTGTCTGCTCAGACAACAGGCACCCAACTGACCCAACCAAAGGCAGTTTGGGGGCTTCCTCCAGTCACTATAACAATGTCTTGAGGGCAGTTATGCTTTCTGGATTCTGGTCGCCACTGAACCCCACTGGCTATACATCTGGCTGGGGTTAGGATTGCAATGTCACTAAACATCTGAATAAATCTAAGAAACTTCCTGATATGAAAGCCTTGACAACGGTATCATGGGCTGAGAGCTCACTGAGCTAACCAAATAGCTGAGACAGAATTGAAACACTTTTATTTCTATTCTCCAGCCCCTCACAATTAAAAATACAACTAGAGAGTTCTTTGAACAGCCCCAGTTATTTCTTTACCTGCTTGAGGAGCAGTGAGCCTCACGTCTTTTCCTGGAGCCCTAGTGGTGCATTCAATCTTCCTGGGAGACACATGTCTAATATCACAAGGAATGCCTAAGGAGAATAAAAACATTTATGCATACAGGTAATATACATATAGGTATAGAGAGAGAGATCTATAGATGTGATGGCAGGACCAGACTGAAGGAGACAGGCTCCTGTTCTATGGCAAAGGGCTGGATGTGGACAGATTATTAATAGCAAAGGTTGTCACCCCAACTGAAGGAGGCCAGGAAAGGCAGAATGCAGAGCAGTGTAGAGTAATCAGAAAGAAAGCCACGCGATGCAAGCCCATTCCCTGGGGACGTACGGAACCACTTGGCTGAGCTCGGGAGGTAAGTATCACATGAGAGCGAGGACACTCTCCAGCATCCTTGGTGTCACTAAAGGAGCATCCTATCTGACTAGATGAAAGGTTCTAGATAGGTCCACAAAAGGGCTTGCCAAGGGGGCATTCCAGAAGAATCTGCATAGCAAATGACCAGCCACTCCTGCTTATCTAGAACAAGATGGCTAACGGGGGAAGGTGAACAGCAGGGTTGTTTTTCAGTAAGAATAGACCTTTGTGAAGAGGCAGCTATACTTTTTTCTTTTCTTTACCCCCAAGATGGGGACACTGAGGGAATTGCCACGCACTGGGGGTGTGCCTGCAGGACATCCTGTTCCTGTTACACATTTGCAGAGGAGGGGGAACGAAATCACACCTGGTCTCAACCAAACACAGGTAGAAGAACTTAGAGCAGGTTGGCATGATAAGTTAGAAGGGGCACCACCCCTCCACACATTCCTCATGCCATAACAGCTACAGCATCTCCCACAGCATTTAACACTATGAACTATTTCCAGCCATTTCAACGTAGTTACCTGCAATAGTAACCTGAGCGGAGGTGTCAAAGAAGTCTCCTGTAATTGTGATGTCTGTTCCTCCTCCAAGGCTCCCAGTTTCTGGAAACACAGATAATACTTCTACAAGAGTTAAAAAAAAAAAAAAAGTAAGCATCCAAATACAGACCAGGATATGACCTAGATAATGATATAATAATAGAAGCTGTCAATAATTTATTTCTTACTTTAACTCTCTAAATCCAGCAACAGTTGGAATTTTTTCTAGTAAGAGCTATTTAAAAATACACATGATAAGAAAAGGACTGGAAATATATATTACACAGGATCAATATTTGGACACAAGGGGAAGTGTAGAGTCACTCGTGGTATCAGCAAAATCCCCTACATACCATAATGTTTTCCTAGGAAATCTGTCTCCTGACCTCAAGGACTCTACGTGCATGTCAGGGAACAGTAGGTTACATTGCATGGAGGAATCAACTTTGGATCTACTGGGAAAGGCCTCAATTCACCCACAGGAATCTACAGTTCACTCTAAGCAGAAGAATGAATTACACCATCTGCAGCTCCTTCCACTCTCCCCCATGCTGAATGTTCCTTCCCACGTGCCCCTGATTGCGTGAAACCCCCTGTAGTCATATGTCACATATCCCCACGAATTTAATTTTATCTCATCCTTTCCTCTCCTATGATCAATCAAACTTTGACAGTTCTACGTTCCCCTTTTCCAGGAGAAAGAGGAACTGTGTTCTCTGAAGGTACGAAGAGGCTAATTATGAATGGTTACCACCTTAAAATATAAATTTTATGAGAATGTTTTCTAATGCTATTACCCATAACTCAAAACAGTGGAGATACATGTGGGCAAAGGTTGATCTCTTACACTCAAATATCAAAATTCACCACTAATAGTAATGGCCCCTTTCTTTTAACCTACTATTTTATAACTCTTTTTTTACATTGACATTGGAATTTTGTACGAGCTTCACGTAGAGATTAACATGTTCTTTTGATACACATGCAAAATTACACAGACTATAGACTAGGTAATTTATGAAGTTCTCAAACTTTTCACATAGTTGTAGATATTTTATAATTCTTTTCAATATGCACAGAGCACCTGCTATATAGTACTATGGATATAAAGATGAATATAAAATATTTAATAGTTCCTGTCCTGAAGGAGATCAGCATGGTAAAGAGAGGCAGGTACACAAAACTATATTTATAATACTAATACCTTAGGTTAGCAAAATTAGAGAGAGTACATGAAAGAACACAGGAGAAGGCTAGGGGTGGGGTTAGGGTATGGAGGAGTAGAAGAAAATTTCTAGAGATGACATCTGGGCTGAGTCTTAAGGAGAAATTAGAACTGGGCTAGAGAAGGGGAGAAAGAGAGGGCACTTAGAGCAAGAGATAGCCTGAGTGTGGAGAGAGGAAATTGCACAGCACACCTAAGTGTTGCTGGAATATGAAAGAGAAAACAATGGAGCTGGAGATGAGAAGCTTGGCCCATTTCGTAGGGATGGGAAGCCAGCAGAGGACAGTGAGCAGGGAAGATGCATCAGATGTGTCAGGCCCTTGGGAACCACTGTAGCAGCCACACAAGAGGCGAAAGGGGTCCAGCATCAGATGGTAACTGGAGAGATAAAGTGACAAAGTGGATACGTCATATTTTAAAAACATACGGTGGGTAAAACTGGCAGAAATTGGTGATTGAATGGATGTGGAATGGAACGGCAGAGGGAAATCTTGGATAAATTCCAAGACTCTTGCTCATCTACTTCTTTAGACAATTTTTGGAGTTAGAAGGACAAGCACCTCTTGGGCCATTTTATAGATGCTTAATTGAGGCTCAGAAAGGCTAAATAGCTTAACCAAGCTTGACTAGTGATTAAGTGCCAGCCCTTGGGGAGCTCAGTCCTGGGCTCTTTGCAGTTGTCCACATCCCCTCTCCCCACAGCCTCCTCTGCTATGAAAAAGTTCTGGCCTGTGAGTCCTCATCCAAAGAAGACATCAGCCCTGGAAATATAAAATAGCTGTGTGATCGGGACACCTGTCAGCCTATCTAGCACTTCAGGGTTCGACAGTGAAGGGAGGACTCACAAATAAGCTTGGAGTGAGAAGAGCTTGGCAAGAAGAGTGTATTTTCCATAGCATATTGGCCGTGGGCATAAGATTTGGAATTAGATCTGCATATTCTAGCACTAGGACCTTTGGACAAGTGGCTTTGCCTGAGTCTGTTTCCTTATCTGTACAATGGGGCTAATGTTACCTGTGTTATAATTAAATGAAATAAATATTGAGATTGTATGTAAAACAGTCAACAAGGGCCTGACATCTTCTTTCTACTGTCATTATAACCATCAGCTTGGGTGCTTCTTCAAATGTACCCCCAGACAGACTAGTTATCCTGTTTAAAGAAAAGCAAAGCAAGGGTCGAAATCCAGCTTTTTCAGGATCAGGCTACCTAGAGAATAAATGGCATTTGCCCATGACCTATGAAATATCTTGCACTGTTGACAAAGGTAGATGTTGATGGCTTCTGGGATCTAAATCTACCTCACAGACATTTCTTCAGTGACTGTGTCATTGATGTATTCAACCCTAGAATCTAAGTAGTATTCTTTAGTTATCAGCTTTCTACCACTGAATTGTGTTCGCAATTTTCCAGTTTTCAGGAAAGTTTCCAGTTTTCAGCATTCGTGTTTTTGGTGTGAGAGTTTATTCACCAGGCGACAACACAGTAGTTTAGCATGAATATCAGCAAGTCATAAATTGTAGAACAGATCTCAGAGATCGGGTGTTAGAGCAACTGGAAACATGTGCTTTAAGAGTTTTTTAAGTGCTACCATTTTTCTGTTACTCTCCAGAACATAGAATAAGGCAGGACTGTCTTTCATTCAACTGATATCCATAGACTTTGTACAGAAGTCTACAATCACATCTCTTTCCAATATAATAACTAAAGCTGACACGGATACAAGCAACTTAATCTCAACCAAAACCGAAAGACTATCCATGATTATAGGGTTGGCTTCAGGTGTTAATGATCATAGAGAAATGGCCAAGAGACAGGGAAGGCAGGCCCAACCTTGAACAAGGTGTGAAGGAGTGGGTAAGGAGTATCAGTAAAAGGAAATAGTACCTGAGTGTGTCTGGTACAGGAAAAGCTCCTGTTTAGCACTGATCAGCCATGCACTCTTGTCAACCATTGACCTTCAAAAGAGACAAAGCTGTGTTTTGGCTGAAAACATCCTCTGGCATTGCGTTTTTTTTTTTAATTGGCTGCCTAAAAGGAAGACTGTAAACTAACCTCTGTTGATCTTTAGAACAGTTGGGATACCAACTCCCTTCGATGACTAGAGAACAATACCAATGGGTCAAAGTGTGTTTCCTGATCTACAAAATTATCGTATGAGAATTATACCTACTTCACAGAGCGTCTCAAACACTAAGTGAAATAATGAATGTGGAAAGGCCTATAATCAATACTAGTCAATAAACATTAGTTTTATTCCTTTCAAAATGAGAGAGAGAAATCTCCATACTTTGGGCTGTATAGCTATAGGTAATACATCACCATCATCACAATGAAATTAATATCAGCTAGACAATGCATTTTTAAGGAAAACACCTGGCAAATTATATAGTGGCAGAGCATGAGGTAGGATATATGGAATCCAGAATCCTAATTTACCTCTCCAAAGCTCATTGAAATTTGGAACCTTTCCATCTTGAAGAAGGCACTTCCTGCATGGCACAATGCATTTCATGAAACCATGTTCCTCATTAGCTACATGTGACACTTTTAGATCTACAATACTTTGAGATTACTTAAGAGGTAATTCCCAAAATGCTGTACCATCACTACATGGAAACACTTGCATTGCCTACAGATGAGTGCATAAGACACAATTATATTCACCCAAGTAAAGAAAATCAAGAAGGGATATGCAGTTACATTATACTATTCTGTGTGTGTATGTTTGAAATTTTCTATTATAAATGGTTAAAGGAAGTAAGCAAGATGAGAGAGAGAGATGATATAAAAAGAAGACAAATTTACCTACTTCTACTCCCAGTTACTTACTTTCCTTTGTTAAATACTGAGAAACTAACATTCTGGGAGCCTGTAACACAAAGAAACAGACATTAATGCAGGAATCTCTGGGGCCAAGCCATTGCTACCATAAACCCAAGAACTCTGATATCATCAGGTTACGGCCCAAACCTATAATTTCCTTAATGGTGCCCAAAATAAACACCCCACAGGCTTAGTAGACTTTCAAGAATAAAAGGGCAAATGTAGTATTGCATAGCAAGTAAGAGTCGAGGCTTGTAGTTAGACTGACATGATATAAATCCTGCTCCACCAGGTACCAGCTTCAATGTTTTCACCTGTAATGTGAAAATAATTCCACCAATCTCACAGGCATTATGTGAGGATTAAATTAGTTTATGTATAAGCTGCTTTATATAGTGTTTTTCAGGGAGTTCTCAACAAACGGTAGTTACAATTATTATTCTCATGAGAACCAATTCTTGAAATTGTTTTTTTCTGAATATGGAGAAATACATGGCAACACTTTAAAATCGTGTTACTTCTTTCACAGACCGATGTAGTCGCCTTCCACACGGCACTGCAGAGTCCCAAGGCCATGGTCTTCCTGAATGGGATAGCTAAGGAGAAAACAAACCGAGGTAAGAACTGCCAGACAACTTGGTTCAGATGTTCTGCTCTTTAATGAGGAAAGTAGAAAATAAAAGAAAAGGCAAACTGGCCAGCGAAAATGGTAGGTGCTGACGGTATAATGAGCTCATTGGGGTGAGTGCTTAGGGTAACACTAACTAGAGTTATCATTGACACATATGCTACCAGCAAAATGCACAGTGTAAGAGACAAAATTTAACTTACTCCTAAACTCTATTTGGCCCTTTCTTTCCAAAATCTGTTATACAACAAGTATAGCAAAACCCTTATCAAAAAAAAAAAAAAAATCTGTTATCAAGTGTGAGCTCCAAAAAGGACAGTCCTGAGCAAACAAATTGAAGACGCCAGGAGGAAACTACGTTTCAGAGTTTGACTCCCATCCAAGTACTAACCAGGCCTGACCCTGCTTAGCTTCCAAGATCAGACCAGACTGAGCATGTTCAGGGTGCTATGGTACTATACCCTAGTCTCAAAAAGCTAATCTACAAAGTGTAATTCTTATAATGGCCTCAAAGGAAGATTAATCTGCCCAGTCCCGGAGTGAAATAAAAATCCAGCAAAACGTTGGTTATCTGAACAGGAACATGTAGATACTTGTTTTTTTCCCTTGGCTGGTCATTAAAGTATGGTGGTTAAGTGTGTGAATTCTGGGGACTGGTTAGTCAGATGAGGTTCAAATCCCACTTCTGCCACTTGCTTTCTGTGAGACCTTTAGTAAGTTACTTAACTTCTCTGGGCCTCAGTTTCCTAATCTGTAAACTGGGACTAATAACATACACACTTACAAGATTACCATATGACTTAAATGTAAAGCATTAGAGCAGGCCTTGACCTATATTAAGCCCTTAATAAGTATTAGCTATTTGCTTTCGAGGAAGGTTTTAGAATCCACTTTAATATGCATTTTGAATCAATTCCTGTGTCTTTTTCAGCAAGTCTAAAGATAAGGTAGTCAACAGTTATGAGTGATGTATATTAAAAAATAGATGTGTATGTGTGTGTTTGTGTATGTACGAGAAAGAGAGAGAGTGTGTGTGTGTGTGTGTGTGTTGTATTCATGTGGAAGAACATAAATGCACAGAGATTGGCAAGGAAAGAAAGACACTCACCGGCTTCCTGTCTGCCTGTTTACAAGAGAGCAAGGAGTGACCCATTTGTCTTCTTGAGCTTCCAAGATCAATGGGCTAGATTAAAAAATGAAAACAAAAAACATGGGACAATAGTGCAATGCTCCCAACAAACATCCCTGACAAAACTTAGAGAAAACATAGCCATGAACATTTTCCTCTGGATTTATTGTGCACCCTGACAGGAGACTACAGGCTGTGTGCTAGGGGATGTCAAGTCAAACTCTCAGCAAGAGAGAAGGGGGCATTCATGGCACATGCTTTCACACTACAGAGGGAGCATCTCTCTTTTCCCACAAAATCTTCATCATCTCCACATTGGCCATATTGGGTCTACACAGAGCTATTGCAGATTTTATGCCTTTATTCCCCCTTTCAAAGGCTAGATCCCAGACCAACACTGAGATGGGACTAAGTAGTAAATATGGCATATTGGCAAGGACATACTAGGGGTTTCTATCCCCCACAGGAAGAGTAATTTTCTTGTAAGACAAGTTAACCTTTACTTAATGTCAGAAATGTAGGTCCTGAGAGTAATCAATTCATGTTCTCTTCAAATAGGGTAGAATCAGAGAGATGGAGCAAAACAGAAGAGGATGCCACCAACCCATCCAGGAGTGAAGGAAAATTAAACACAGCATATAGAATCTATGCAGCTGAGCATATAGCGAGATTATGTTCCTTCTACCTTACAAATCCTCAATATAATTGCTTCATTTGTTGAATGATCACAGTTGCTTAGAGCTTTCCACAAACTCCACGGTTTCAACACTTTCCATCTTATTCTCCTCTCTTCCTAGTGTGGATGATTTACTAGTAACACTTTCTACTTAACAAGTGTCCAGTGAAGAAAGTCATGTTGACATCCCAATTATTCCTAGGAAACATTAAAAGCTCAATGGCTTTTAGTACCTGTGTCCACATTTTCCTCTGATCCCACTAATAGAATTTCTAAATGCACAAAATGGATAACAAGCAAACGAGAAAGTTATAATGGGCTTTTGGGTTTACATGTTATTTTATAAAGAATTCATTTCAGCCTCAGAAACAAGGGGAGGAAGGGTGAAAATTGAAAAAGAAAATCCACAGATGCAATTACAGTGCATTTCATGCTGAGCCCAGAGTGACTAGTTGTCAGTAAATAAATGGACCAACTTAATCGACCAGTTGCAATTACATTAACAAAGTTTGCTGAAGCCCAGCTCACCAGGGACCATAAACTGCAAAGAGGAAAATAGCAATTCTGTGCCAACTGCTTACAATTTATTACTATCAGGGAAGCTGGTCCCAGGAAGCCATCCAGCCTGTATGTAACTAGTTGAACACAGAAAGAAACACGTGCTTACCTATCAATGTACTCAGCATCAAAATCGAAGGTTTCCAATTTTCCAGTGATAATCCAGCCATACACATGTATTAGTGTTCCTGTTTTAAAAAGAATCTTTAAAATTTAATGTAACATAGCTCAAACTCTAAATGTATAATAAAAACTATTAGGTTGGTGCAAAAGTAATTGCAGTTTTAACATTGTTGAAATTTGCCGTTTGATATTGGAATTCTTAAATGTGGTTGTACATCATTTTAATGTGCATTTCTTGCTTTATGTTTTTTCGCTAATGACTTATTACTTGTTGTTTATTTTATTTATTTTAGACTATGGAAATGATGTTAAACAAAAAGCAAATTCAAGCGATTTTCTTATTTGAGTTCAAAATGGGTTGTAAAGCAGCAGAGACAACTCGCATCATTAACAACGCATTTCATTGACAATGCATTTGGCCCAGGAACTGCTAATGTACAGTGCAGTGGTGGTTCAAGAAGTTTTGCAAAGGAGAGGAGAGCCTTGAAGTTGAAGTTGAGGAGCGCAGTGGCTGGCCATCAGAAGTTGACAACAACCAATTGAGAGCAATCATCAAAGCTGATCCTCTTACAACTACATGAGAAGTTGCCCAAGAACTCAAGGTTGACCATTCTACAGTCGTTCGGCATTTGAAGCAATTTGGAAAGGTGAAAAAGCTCGATAAGTGGGTGCCCCAGGAGCTGACCAAAAATCAAAAAAAATTGTCGTTTTGAAGTGTTGTCTTCTCTTCTTGTACATAACAACAATGAACCATTTCTTGATGGATTGTGACATACGACAAAAAGTGGGTTTTACAGGACAACCAGCAATGACCAGCTCAGTGGTTGGACCAAGAAGAAGCTCCAAAGCACTTCCCAAAGCCAAACTTGCACCAAAAAAGATCATGGTCGCTGTTCAGTGGTCTGCTGCCTGCCTGATCCACTCCAGCTTTCTGAATCCCAGTGAAACCATTCCACCTGAGAGGTATGCTTAACAAATCAATGAGATGCACTGAAAACTGCAAATCCTGAAGCCTGCATTGGTCAACAGAAAGGGCCTAATTCTTCTCCATGACAACACCCAACCATACATCACACAACCAAAGCTTCAAAAGTTAAACAAATTGGGCTATGACGTTTTGCCTCATCTGCCACATTCACCTGACCTGTCACCAACCGACTACCACTTCTTCAAGCATCTCAACAACTTTTTGCAGGGAAAAGTCTTCCACAACCAGCAGGATGCAGAAAACGCTTTCCAAGAATTCCTGGAATCCCGAAGCACGGATTTTTACCCTACAGGAATAAACAAACTTATTTCTCATTGACAAAAATGTGTTGATTGTAATGGTTCCTATTTTGATTAATAAAGATGTGTTTGAGCCTAGTTATAATGATTTAAAATTCACAGTCTGAAACCACAATTACTGTTGCACCAACCTAATATGTTTCTTTTTGGTTGTGTATTCCCAGTATGGCAAAGCTGGTCCTGACCCAGAAAATTAATGCATTTTTATAGACTGCACAACAATAAGGTCAATGGTATGATTTAGTGATCAATATTACACAATAAAAAGGCTAAAATAACCAGTTATTTCAGTCACAGACTTATTGAATGGAGCACAGTAGGAATAATAAGTCTTCTTCACAGCCCAACATGGTGTGAGGATTCAGCAAGAGGGGCCAGTTTCGACACACTGCCCTGTTCCATTCTCTGCACTCCATGTAGACCACTCGCCCAACGTGGGATGTTAGAACAATGTGCCCTGTGGTGCTCCACACTGCATGAGACTTTCCTCTGGACACTTGCTAAAATGAACATGTGATATGAAGAACCTTGTATCACACAATCTGATTGGCCTTCAGAGATCCTAACCTTTCTTCAATGTCTCAAAGTACAGAAGATAAACATCACAGAGGACCCAAATGGACAGAAACTGAAGGAGGACATAAAGCATCAGCAGAGTTATGGGCTAGAGGATGGACAATTGGCACATCTCGCTCATTTAACAATTATACTCATGTTCAAATATAGGATAAATTGGGGATCTGTAAACAGTTGCTGTCTGCCTTACCCACTGATATATGGGTGACTTCTACCCCTGGGTCTCCTCTATGTGACTTCCAGGGATTTCCATTGGGTGGTAAGTTTCTCCTTAGTATGTTCCTCCTTTGAGTCCAACAAGAATGGCAGTGCAGGCGTGGGCGGCCGCCTTTCAGCAAGGTGCACTGCCCCCCATACCACTCCCACATCCACTGCTCACAAGAGTTGGGAAAGGGATCTAAAGTAGCTCCCTATCAGAGTTTGGGAGCCCCTTCCAGATGCTACATGAGCTACTAGCTTCCATGTTTGAAAACCACCTTGACTCAGTCCTGTGGAACTGCACAAGGCAAAGTGTTAAGCAAACACAACATAGCAAGGTGATATAGTTAAAATTCACCATACGGTCCCACAATTATTGGGAAGCATGTGCCTTGCAAATAATTAGAGAATTCAATCATCTATACTGTAATCATCTACTATGTTGGTTAGTAAAGTAAAACCTCAAAAAATGGAAGAGGAATGGGCACCTATGGGGCTCATGAGATCGCTGAATACAGATTTGAATCTTTTCACAGACACTTAAGGCCAGAAAGAGCATTACCAAGAAGTTGTTCCCTTCATACTGCATTTGTGTTGTATTACGAAGACGTGACTTTCCTCTGCAGTCATTGGTTGACTAAAATAACAGGAACCTTTCAGGAGGTCTTACAGCCATTTTACAAGTGCATGGGCAGAAATAGTAGAAACCTAACAACTTAGACAAAGGTCATAGAGTTGGCAGAAGCCTGGAGTCTCAAGTTTTTTGTTACTGCTAAAAACTGGCAGAATAATTCTCTTTAATTAGAGCTACAGGATCAATTTCCCAGCTTTGGTGAGTATGACTTCTAGCTTTGATAGGCACGATTTTAAAAACTAACAACGGGTTATAGAAATTAGGAATTCCTGTGAGTTTTTGTTTTGTTTCTAAACAGATGAAAGCCAACAGAGGCTGACAAATGGCCAAGCCAGACCACGGTGCCAGGGGAATCTTCATCATGGTGAAGGACTGTTAACCACATATAAAAACCCAACAGCCCTCCCCTGGCCCCACCCCCTCCCCCATCTCCCTGGCTGCTACTCTGGGCAGGCTTCCCATATGGAAGGAGGGTAATCGTCTGGAAAGTGATTGCAAAGATGCAGCCGTGTGGATCCTACCCAGAGGGACCACTCCAACCAGGCCAGCCACGAGTCGTTCCCCCGAAAGGTGGAGGAGACAGCATACAGAACTCCACCTCGGTGGGAGAGACTGGCTTGACAGATCTGGGTGCCTGGTGGCGTCCTATTTCACACCTCTAATGCTGGCTTCTTCCTCATCCCTCACCCTAACAAGACTTCTGCCATCTAAACAGGAGCTTTCTAACACCAGAGCAGCAGGGACCCAAGCGTCTGCATATGATTTTCACAGACCACATCTCTTTTTAAGAAAACATTATCATGTCTTGATTACACAGACAAATGGGAAGGAACAGATCTGTAAAAAACCCACTGAGTAAGATAATACCAAATGCATATTCTTTAAGATATAATTTAAATACACATATACATAATCAGTATCTATACACATAAACACATAAAGTGTACACTTGTCAGTAACTTAGATACTTATTTTGACATTCTGGACCAGTCAAGCCAATCAGAACAACTAGATCAGTGTATACATTTAGACACAACCACATATAAAAATTTAGCAACTTGTGTTCCCACACTTATTCTGGAAACACTGAACAAATGAAAAACCTGAAATAAAAGTAGGAGAGTGCCAAGAATCAGACAGCAAATTATCTGCAATCCAAGTCGTGTTTCCTACTTAGTTTTAAGGAAGACTTGGGAAATTCCTGAACCTATTTCTCCACGGCAATCCCTTCTCCTTTTATGTAAATCCCCCAGCTTTACATAATCTTCTCTCCTATCTTCCTGGTCTTTATATATCTGTGTGCTCTCTAACTCATAAATAAATCCCCTAGATCAGCAGTCCCCAACCTCTTTGGCACCAGGGACAGGTTTCATAGAAGACAATTTTTCCATGGAAGAGGGGTGGGTGCAGCCCAGGAGTTGAGGACCACAGGCCTAGATGAAGACCGGGGTTAATACCTTTTCAAGTGGCATCCAACACTACTCTACACAATACAAAATAGTGCATTTATGGGTCATTCTGAATTCTGACTGTCTGAATTCAAAAGTCGTCTGCACCGTTTATTAGCTATATGACTTTAGGCAAATTACTTAACCTTTTGCTACTTCATTTCTTCATGTGCAAGATGGGAATGATAATAGCTCTTACATTATCAGGTTTTGGTGAGGATCTAATAAGATACTTAAAGAGCTTGGAATGGAGCCTGGCACACAGTAAGGGCTTAATAATGGCTTGTTATTACGTGAATGATTATAAAGTTAAGAGCAACGATAACTTATACTTCCTCCAGTCTTCAGCATCAACTGGTTTGATTTTGCTGGCCTCCTTTTCTTTTCATGTTGGGATTCCTTTTGTTATCAGTGAAGTAATAGAGCAAAAGTACCCAGAGGTGAAACCAAACCAGGTTAAAAATGAACCAACAGTTGACAGTTATTTTCAAAACAGCATCAGAGAAGAAGTTAAATTTTCCCACTTACAGAGTCCACCCACCTAAGTAGAAGAGTTAGCGACAAGCTTTAGCAAAGGAATTCATGGTTATTTCTATTTAAATAGAAGATTTCTTACCTGGAACTCCACTTGGTGGATTCACTTGGTAAACAATGGGTGTCTGTGCCCTGGAAAACTGTTTTGAAAATACGATCACAAGTGAGCATTTCATTAGAATATTGACAAATATAAGAAGTGCAAACCATTCCTCGTAAAGCATTAGTGTAAGGTAGTAAATTACATCTCTAAACGTAAATTACATTACATTTCTTCAAATCACCTTCACACCTACTTCTTTTTATCCTCATAACATTACTGTGAAGCAGCTACGACAGATATTATTCTATTTCTCCTATGGATGATGTAAAGGGACTTTGGTCAAGGTCACACCACTCTTTCTTCTGCACCATATTGTCCAAACCTTGGCGAGCCTGTTCCTTCTATCTTCCCACCTGCCATACCCAGGACCACATTTTACCAGGAGGAAACGTAGGCAGGCCATCATCCAGAACATCGATTTTTAAATTCCGTTATTATAATTTGGTGTCTGAAGGCCTTGAAGGTTTTTATTTTTCTAGAAAAAAAAATCCATTTATTTAATTGGAAGGATTGCAACTTAAATTCTTATCAGCCAGCACCTTGGTAGGGATTAGCAAGCTACAAAAAATGGGAAATTCAATAGGCATAGAACTGAGGTGCTTATTGGGGAAATGGAAGGTGCTCGTTGGGAGGAAAATGATTCAAAAGATTCAAGGTATGGGAAGCAACATTGTTCTTCAAGAAGGTGGAAACCATATCCATGGGAGAGGTGGGAGCCTGCGAAAGCCTGGTGGTGGCTCTCCAAATAGTCTACGATGCCCCCTTCCTGCAAAGCACATCAATCATCCATCATCTGCTAACCACAAGCTCCATAAAGGTAGAGACAATGCCTGACTCAGTTGCTGTTGTGTCCCTGTGTACAGCCTGCTATGCAGAAGACATTCAAATTTTTACAAATGAATGGAGTTGCTCAATCTTGGATGACTGATATGCTGCCTGGAAGTAGAGCAGGGAATGAGATAATCTCAGGAATCCCATCTCACCTAAGGCACCTAGGTTAGTCTAGATCAGTGCATTACTCTATCAGGAAATCACACTGGGGCCAGTGTGAAGAAACAGGGAAGTGTAAGGATGGACTGACCAGGTCAAGGTTTGACCCATGAGTCATTGATGCACCCAGGAAGAGACCTATCTCCCCCTGCCACCACCTCATGCCCAACCTCCTCTGATGCCTAGACTGTCTCCATTCCTCACAACCTACAGTGCTTCCCTCTGGCAAACAAATCACAGCAAATTGTTTTATTTGGTCTGCTTCCAGCACCCCAGGAGTCCACCTTCCCAGAGGGACTATCACCAAAGAATAACTCCATTGTTAATCAACAGCCTTAATCAGATACCGAGAACCAACAGACTTTTCTGTTGAGAGCCAACAGACCAAGCTTATGGCAGCATATCATGTGTGATCACTATCACAGTATTGATCTGCCAGGCTGTACAGTCCACTGTCAAGGCTGGTTTCCTCACTTTCTAATGGAAAAGGTTAGAAAATAGTTCACAGAAAATATGTGTGGTCAGGGGGTCAAAATAAGAATGCTGTGACTTCACAGATTGGGAGCTGGCTCTGTTCTCACCAAAAGATAAAGATTAATACAGTTCCACACACAACTGCCAAAACTTCCATCCCCACCCAGCCTCCCAGCCAACCACTGCCCCAGGCCTTCACCTCCCCGCTGGGACAGCCTTCACACCCATGTCCTTCGAATCAGAACTATATCACAGGAGCCCAGGGAAGTGGAGCAGTGCTTACAGCCGCATCTCACAGATGTTAGAAACTGAGGCAGATGGAACAACCTCATCCAAACCGAATAAGGAAGCACAACTCTCGATTTCCAGTTTGGAATGTAAGATCTACCCTTCAGTCTGTAGTCAGTCCTTGTACCAGAAGTTCTCCGCGAATATAGCAATTCCTTCATTGCGCCCTCCCGACTCCTCAGAGAGTGGTGGAGCAGGCTCAGGGTTAAACCTCAAAAAGGGCTTCACTTGTGATTCTCTCTGAGCTGACAGAACACAAAATGGTACATTTCTAAGAGAAACAGGCCCCTGGTCACCCACCAGGCTAGAGATATGACAAAGTGAAAAATTAATGAGCTTCCAAATCAAGCTTCCCGCATGCTGATCTGTGAGCTCGAGTGAGGTCAGCAGAGGCAAGATGGGGAAGAGGGAACGCGGAGGATTAGCTTGAGAAAGCCGCAGCCACCCACCGCGTGATAAACCTCCTGCGAGTTGTTCGAACTTGTCAGTGCCCACAGCAGGCTCTTTGGAGCGGACTGGCAAGACAGGATTAATTTTTAATACTCGTGGTTCCCCCAGTCTCAGTCCCAAAACAAAGAGACACACCGGGTTTTATTCAGCTTGGAACGCCTCTCATTAACTGCGTCCCCTGGTGATTTTTCATCAACACGCCAAGATAGTTAAACCACTGACAGACTTGTTTTCTTTAATGTGCAGTTTTAGGAAGTGTTTCTCTTCTTTCTGCCCTCTCTCCTTACCAATCTTTTAGTAAGTAGGAAAACCACTATCTGGGAAGAGAGAAGCATGGTGATGAAGGCGCATGCTTGGCAGTCTGTCTTCTGTTAGGTGCCCTGAGACGGTGCAGAGACGGCGGGGAGGCTCTTGATCAGAAAGGATGGTATAATTATTTTTTCTGTAGACTGCATATATGCAGAAGCAAAATTCCAGAAAACAAGATTCTCTTGGACTGAGAACCAGGTTATTAAGTGTAAATTGACAGCAAATTCCAAATTTCAAAAACAAATAGCCTATAGGAAATGTGGATCATATTAGACATGACTTTAGAGGGTGAAGTCTGGTTCTAAAGGAGCATTAATTATTGACTAAATTGTACTCTTTGGGACAGCTCTTAAACAGAGGCACCCCATGTGAAATACAGTCATGTCAGCAGGAGCACTGCCAAATCTCTGCCTTTTATGAAGCCTTTCCGAGATGATTTTAGTGTAAAAGTAATCGGAGAGGGATAGTAGGAGACTGAACCAAACGTGAAATTAAACCCCAGTCTAGCTATTGAGGCTATAAAATAAGTCAAGCATTGGCTTTCTAAACTAACACCAACCCCCACTCCGCCCCCCTTTCTTTTTTGTTCGTCTGATCATGAAGAATTCCACCAGTAAATGCTATTTCAGTTTAGTGCTGGAAAGATTAGCAGAAATCTACCATAAAGAAGAGGGAGAGGAAGAAGTTAGGTCTCTGAGTCCCTTCACCAACCTGATACTCAGCATGATCTCAGCTATAAAATGAAACATTGGTACGCGAAGGTAATCTTTGTGGTTCCTCTATGGGCTTTCGTGTAGGTGAGAATTTAGAGGCAGATGCAGGTGCAAATCCTGGTTCTGCCATTTACCACCTGGATGACATGGACAAATTAACTTCATCTCCCTGAGCCTTGGGTTGCCCATCAGTAAAAACAGGATAATAAATAGCTACCCCCATAAAACTGTTGTGAGTATTAAATTAGACAATCTGCATAAAGCACTTAGCTAGAGCCTGGCATGCATGTGTTCAATACTTACCTTTCATTACTTTAATCTAAGAAACTATCACTGCCATCTACCTTTCTTCTTGCCCTGTCAGGGCAGACTCTTGGGCTGATTTATAACTTGCCTTTTGCTAACACCAGCACACCCTCAGACTATGCAAACACACATTCTTCCATCCTGAGAACCCACCTTGAAAGTACAGTTGTCTGGTGGTCCTGGACTTAAGCTGCCTACTGCTTGTCCCCCAAAGTGCACTTCCAGGGAGTACAGACCCTCGTGTGCTTCAGAAGGCAGAGATCTGAGGACAGGAAGTAGAAATCCTTATGAATCAGAAACCATGAATTCCGGCCGGGCGCGGTGGCTCACGCCTGTAATCCTAGCTCTCTGGGAGGCCGAGGCAGGTGGATTATTTGAGCTCAGGAGTTCGAGACCAGCCTGAGCAAGAGCGGGACCCCGTCTCTACTAAAAATAGAAAGAAATTAATCGGACAACTAAAAAAATATATAGAAAAAATTAGCCGGGCATGGTGGCGCATGCCTGTAGTCCCAGCTACTTGGGAAGCTGAGGCAGAAGGATCGCTTGAGCCCAGGAGTTTGAGGTTGCTGTGAGCTAGGATGACGCCATAGCACTCTAGCCCAGGCAAAGAGAGTGAGACTCTGTCTCAAAAAAAAAAAAACCATGAATTCCCACAGCTGGAGGCCCACTTAACCACCTCAAATTTCCCCCCTGCACTTGTGAAACAGAGCCAGCCAAGGATTCCTATATTTTACCTTTCACCTCCTAGATCCACTAATAATCCCTAGACTTTAAAGACTGGATCCTTCAGCAAAAGAAGTTATGACTTTTTGTTGTTGTTGAAAATCCCTGAAAGTATTTTTTTATGGACCATCCTGCATAACAACCTGACATTTTTTTTAATCTGTCCATTTTCTCAGAATCGTAAGTTCGTAGGACTTTAAGAATTGGAAGGGGCTGGGCATGGTGGCTTACGTCTGTAATCCCAGCACTTTGGGAGGCTGAGGTAGGAGGATCACTTGAGGCCAGGAGTTCGAGATCAGCCTGGGCAACATAGTGAGACTCCGTCTCTACAAAAAATAGAAAAATTATCCAGGTCTGGTGGCTTGCACCTATAGTCCCAGTTTACTCGGGAGCCTGAGGCACAGGAATCACTTGAGTCCAGGAGTTCAAGATTATAGTAAGCTATGACCATACCACTGCACTCCAGCTTGGGTGACAGAGTAAGACCCTGTCTCTAAAGAACTTTGATAGATAATCTATTCTCCGTTTCCGTTTTTTAAAAATGACAGTTCCGGGTAGATTAAGAGACTTATGTGTATGAACACCAAAAGTTAAGGGCAAAGTGGGGCTTGAATTCTAAGATCTTTCTAATGAAAGATATGTATCTAAAAATTCTTGCTTTTATAATCATCCAAGCAGCCCATAGAGATTTCATGTATCCATCAAGACAAAGTGTCCTGGACTTTCTCTTCTCTTTGCACAAATATCACAGTGACTTCTTTGCCACTTGAGGCTGTCATCCATGTTGATTTTAGTAAGAGGGGAATATGATGGATAAAAACAGCAACTTGATTTAAGAGGTGCCTCCTCTCCCAATGTTACCAACAAAATGTTTAGTGTGACCCTCAGTATTTAAATGTGAACTGTCCGTTGTGTTAGCCAACTAGCTTTATGAGCTTGTTAAGCGTTTGCAATGTGGTTAGTCCCAATTAAGACGCCCTGTGAGTGTAACATACACACTGGATATTGAAGACTTGGTATGCAGAAAAGCATACAAAGTATTTCATTAATAATTTATATAGATTACATATTAAAAAATTATATTTTGGATATATTGGGTTAAATAAAAAATATTATTAAAATTAATTTCACTTGTTTCTTTTGACTTTTTAATGTGGCTACTAGAAAATTTTAAATTACATTTACGTTCACATTATACTTTGATTGGGTAGTGCTGATTTTGATATTGCCATGGCTTCTTTGGAGAAAGCAATTGTTTTTTATGATAATGAGTATGAACAGTATTTCATTGATGATAAAGTGCACATATTTTTACACTTGAATGTTAATTGAACTTGATATTCGGCTTCCAATCAATGAGTATATTTAAGAGGATAACAATTCTTTTTTTCAAAAAAGATGACATAAAATCAATGGTGCATCCTAAAATCATTAGTATGTTGGGATTAAAGAGATAGGACATACAAAGCTTTAGAGCTTTGACTTATTTCATGGTAAGCCCTTGCAGAAAGTCTATGCCCAAATATACCATAAAATCTAAAGAAAATATATTACTCAGTTTTAAAACCAACAGCGTGCTATAAGGAAGTGCAGTAGAACAGATATTTATTCCACATCTTCTGCTCATAAGGTATCATGAAATACATGGTAAAGACTACAATGGTAAGATTAAACACACCCTGGGTCCTGAAAGCACTTACTTCTGAGTATGAATCTGGCAAGTGGGCAACTGACATGTAAGACACTCAGGTCTGAGGCAACAGGGTCACTAAGGCTACACCTGGTGTGTCTTTGTGTAAATTGCATAAGGTCTCCCTTCAGAGTGATGAACTGCACAACAAAGTGTGGGTGAACACACATACACCTTGTGGATGAATTACTAAAAGGTGTTCCTTCTTCCTCTTCCAAGGAAGGGAAAGATGATACTCAGTCAAGTGTTCAGGGAAGAGATGGCATTTGTAACATGGTTGGTGGGTTTCAACAGGCAAAAATGGAAGAAGGGGAGTCTTCCTGAAAGAGGGAACAGAAAAGGAAATGGTAATGTTTTTTCTCTTAACCAACGAGCCACTTTTATGCAGCATGTCTAAGACACAAGTAAAGAAAGAATGAACTAATGTAAACTTCATAGGCTAACAAAAACTTAAGTAGAATAATAGATCACCTGCAATCCTTTAAAAATATTTCCTAAATAGAGGTAATATCAAACTCAATAAACAAACTGAGCCTAAAGAAGATTTGCTTTCTGTTTGGGTTTATGCACAAGCATTACAATTATGCCTATTCTGAATGATGAGTACTTTGGATGGCAAAATGTCACCGTTTATTAAAATCTTAGCCACAGAACTCCTTGCAAAAAACAAATGGAAACATAACCCAGCCCCTCCTTATAAAGATCTCAAAATTATTCCCCACGCTCTCATCTTCCCATAAGCCCTAAATCCCTGATAGAGACCTTTTAAGAAGTATATTCGCATGGCATATTTTTTAAAACAATGGCCATAATTGCAGTCACAGCAGGAGTTGCTCTGATATATCACCGAGAGCTACTGAGATCAGCAAAAGTCCGCTTCCTGTCCGGTCTTCCTATTCCCAGATAGTGTACCTGGTCCGGCATGTCACCACAGGCAAATCCAAGAAGACAGGAAAGACATCACAGGGGATACTTGGCAGTGCAGGCATGGCCAGGTTCACGTTCACCAGGTGTATCTCCAGCTGAGAGCCATTGGTGGGGTAAAGGACACTGGACCCCAAACCTAAACACAAGGAGAAGGGGAAATCTCCGTCTGAGCAGAATTTTAATCCACACAAGGTAATGCAAAATGTGGCCACATGGGGGCAATGTAAGACATTGAATTTGCCTAAGGATTAAATTAATATTCATTTCCTCATGATTGCTGTATAAAGGAGTTTTCTCGTTTAAGAAACTATAAAAGAATCTTCTCTTCTCAGGTCGACCTAAATCTAGAAAAGAATTTTTCAGTCCTCAAATTTACTCTTTACCGTGCTACAGTTAGGTGTGCTAAACATGGTTTAGAAGCTCCAAGTGTACAAGTATAGAATAAGGAAGATTCCAGGGAACACGTTACCAAGTGCTAAGCTACGCACTGCCCTATCATCTCATTTAGGGTTCCCAGAGTCCCATCCCATAGCTCGCGGTAAGATAGTGGACATAGACTTGTAGCAGTGTGGTGTGATCTGCTTCTGCGACATTAGCAATGAGCATCTGCAAAGACAGAAGTTGTTCAGTCTGTCCACCTCCCTTCAGACCTTCTTTAACACCTGTCCTTAGACAAGGAAGAAATCCAAACATTCATATCTTTAGCATTGTGGATCAATAAATAAGAAACTTGCACTTGGTAAAACCCAAACCTACCATCAAAAATGACCGTGATCCATGTTCCCCCTGCAAGGCTACCTTCTCCAGGTTCAATACGTAAACTCAAGCACGGTACTGTAAACGAGTGAGAAAAACACAGGTTTTGAAGGTCAGCTTCAATCCACTAGCTTCCCCAGTATTTTAAGTCAAAATTTAGCATGCATCGGAATCACCAGGAGATCTTGATAAAGCACAGATCACTGGGCCCCACCCTCAGAGTTTCTGGTTCAGTAGGTCTGGGGAGGGGCCCAAGAATTTACATTTCTAAGCAAGTGCTGCTGGTCAGAGAAATACACCTTCAGAATCCCCATTTTTTGTTGTTGTTTTGTTTGGGGGTTTTTCTGGTTTGTTTTTATTTCAAAATATTAAGGGGT